AGATGTGTATATGAATATATTTTCATGCATGCTTATATATTCTGCCACCTTGTGTCATCTTGATAAAAGGCCTCCGTGTCTCTGAAAATTGTGACATGGGACTTCAGTAAACTGTTTTTGGACACGATCATGGCGTGCTGGTTTCCACTGTATATTAAACTTACATGGCACCACCATTTTGGCCATGCACTCACTCTTATTTTATATTTGGAGGTGTATTTGGAGGTATATTTGGTCTGTGCGGTATGGTCCGATTTTGTACCAATGAACAGCCATATAAAAAGAAAATGCTAATTTTAAAGTCCAGTAACAAAAGTCAACCAATCAGGATTTATCTTGTTGTTTTTCTTGATTGTTTGCTTTGGGTTACAGCACTAGAGACTAAAGGTGCCCATACACCTTACGATTATCGGACGATACTTTTCGTCCCATGATCGAACCGTCGTACGATTTTCATACTACGGCCCCATCCTGCCCCGATTATCGAAAGGTTCAATCAGCGGTAGTTTAAAAAAAACACCTGGACGACTTGCGGTAATTGACCGCAATTATTTTCGTTTGCGCATGCGCAGTGTTAATCGTACGACTTTTGACGGACAAAAACGCCACCAACCATGCGAACATCGTACGATCGACCAAAGTTTTCAAACATGCTTGACCGTCACGATCGTATAATTGTACAGTACTATCGGTCGGAAACTCTATTCACACGTTACGATTGTCGTACGAAAAGTCGATTGCATGCGATTATCGTACGATAATTGTAAGGTGCATGAGCACCTTTAACACTCTTTTTTTTTTAAAGTAGGGCCAAAGGAATACAACCGTGTGCATAAAATAAATATACAAACACATTGGGAAGCTATTAGCCCAAACGCTTGTGGGAGGTATGGGCTTGATCATCCATCATTTCTGCCTGAGCTATCATCCCAGTTGTCTTATAAATAGTCGAGGATTGGATGTCTCTCTTTGGCTCCATATTAAAATCATGTCAGTAGCAGAAAGACAGAGGTCAAGGACTCAAGCCAAGTATGTGGCTATCCTCCATATTAAAAGGTCAGACTTGAAGAGGAAAATAAAAGTTAAAAGACCAGATATAATGGGATCTTCATATACGAATAAGGTCTGTTATTATTGACCAAGCATTTGATTCTGCAAAACACTATCCAGCAGGGTAGATGTATAAAATGTATTTAGTGATAGTTAAGCCTTCCTTTATAATGTATTAGCTTATTGTGTTTATATTTGTTTGTTTCTGAAGCAGGAGACTATACAGCCTGTTCTGATTCAGTCCTTCCTAGGGCCATCCCTATAATGTGGGAGCCTAAGTCTCATAAAGGGAGGCGCCCCATCTCTTGGGGGCAGGTGCCCACTTTCTGGCTAGCGTGCCCCAGGTGGCTCTCAGCAACCTGGGATGCTCTTGCCAGCATCCTGCCGAGCTCCTGGCAACCAGTGACATCAGTGGTTGCCAGGAGCTCGGCGGGATGCCGTACCAAATGCCCGCCCCCCCTCCGCCAGCAAAACATGTAGGGGCAGCCCTTGTTCTACCTCATCTCCAATGGACAAAAACCAGGTCATGTGATAATTTGCAGCCAGTCAGGAGAGTTCTATACTGATTCTTCGATGATATCATAAGGATAGGGGGTGTCTTAAAAGCTCAATAAATACTTTTACTACGTGGAAAGTTTATGATGCCCCAGTGGCTTTTAGTAGTTTTTATAGTTGTCCTTGTTGGGAAGTTTTTCTTTACTTCTTGTTCCTTTGTCAGTGGGACAGGAAGTGAAGGGAAATCTCCCCACTGGGAACTCAGGTGGCAATAAAAATCCATCAGAGATTCTAAACTCTTCTCCACTCCATCGAAAAAAAACAAAAAAAATATAACTAGCGAAAACCTTCTTCTAAACCTTCTTCTGGGCAGCTCTGCACATTTGTTACCTTGTTTCTTCTCCACCACTAGACATCCTGTAAAAGACCCGAGGGATTTGTCCTGGAAGGTGAAGGCCGGGGAATGATTGACAAGGTCATTGTTCCATCTTTGTATAAGGAGTTGGTCACTATGAGTACTCAAGATGTCACCGGAGAGAGACAGCTTGTCCTGCATACACGTAACATTCAGTTCTAAAGGAAGAAAAATAAAGACATAAGTCAGAAAGAAGTAATCAAATAACACGGGAATAAGCTTGGAGTAGTGGCTACTTTACAACACACACAGGGACCATGGGGAACAAAAGTAGCCACCCTCCAGAAGGAAGGACAGTGTAAGCGCCAATTCAGAGATGATTTGAGGATCTACAGCCGAGTGATACACAAATAAGATACATTTTTGTTAATAGTTCAGGTACGTGAATGTATTTTTAAGATTTGACTCCTGAATGTAAATTCACTTTAACCATTCCTTACTCAAAAAAGTTTTGACTTTACATATACCTTAAGCCCAGGAAACAATTGGATAAACTGTTAATAAAAAGGTTACTATTTTTTGGTTGGTAAACATAGAGACATGCCATATGCCAGACTGGCCCAGATCCTCCAGTGTTGGGTAGGGAGGTGTGCTATGGTGAGGTTGGAAATGCAGAGGGGACCCAGACAACCAGTAAATACTATGTCAACAGAGGATGTCTTTTATTAATAAACTTTACTGTTCAAGTGCAGAACCTCTTCACATCTTCGAAAGGTCTACAAATTTAGAGAGCCTACATCTAATGAGGTCACAGGCCTCTAAAAAATCATAGCGGAACCCAAGAGTATGTATTGTGGGTTTCATCAACGCCCCCTAGAAACCAGCTCAACAGAATCTAGGACACAGACAGTGATACAACTAGCTGCATGGGCTACTGACGTCTGAAAAACCACATCCAGAGATATCTAATTATTATTCTTGCTTTTGGGGCTTTAGGCCACAAGCGAGGTCTTTGATCGTCATACCCTTGGAATGACCCTGAATACTAGACATGTAAGGCAGGAATAGGAGGGTACTAACTTTGTATATAGGATGGCGGTATGGTACAAGAACAGTGGTTTTCAATGGAATGGCTCAGCAGGATTTTCATTCTATTCAGTGTAATAGGCTCCATTTTCATCCATTCAGAGCAATCTAAGAACAAGAGACTTTTTAGTTCTGACACATCTACATCAACTGTTAAAAAAAAAACATCTGCAGGTTCCAATGTAGAAATACAAAGTGGGTGCCAAATTACCCAGGTTAGAGTCCTTCATACACAGATCAAGTTGTATTGAGGTGACCGTGGAGGGACATATGTTTTCTGAGCCAGGACTGGGTTGTTGGACGGGCAGTAGTGCAGTAGAGAATTCCTCGGTGAGACTACAGAGGCTTAGAGACACCAACCTAAAATAACACAAGAGAGGCCTTGTAGCAATGACACATTCGATTTTAAAAAGAGCGACCATAATGACAAAAAAAATGCATTGTAGCCACCTAACAATCATTAGGACTTAACAGGAAATTTAAAGGACTCCAGATACCAGGTCAACAAGACTACCCTGTAATACTGTTCTTTTAGCTTTGGATTCCCATTGCATGAGTGTCACTGCTGCCCACAGCAACCAATCAGATTCCAGATATGTTTTTTTTGAATATGTTACAATTTTGAAAACATAAATATGATTGGCTGCTGTGACCATGACGTTTCTGTACATGCACAATAGCACAAACAAATTCTGATTAATGTACAGTAGTGTAGCCAAAACTGTTTTTTTTTTCAGTTTAGGATAGGGCAGGGGTAGGCAAACTCGGGCCCTCCAGCTGTGGTGCAACTACAAATCCCATTAAGCATTGCAAGAGTCTGACAGCCACAGGCATGGTTACTAGAGGCAGATGCATGATGGTATTTGTAGTCTCTCCCCAGCTGGAGTGTTGGAGAAAGTATTAAAACCCTGTCAATTTATTTTTTACTGCCTCTGTCCAGTTGGGGAGATTTCTCTTCACTTCCTGCCCCAGAGAAGCAACAGGACATAAGAGGAAGTCTCTACAAGTGACAGTTGTCATCGGAACAGGTGTCCCATTGGAAGATTTCCCCTCACCACTTATTATGGCCAGAACTGTAAAAGTTTGGACTTTTCACCACTTTCTGTCTTGGTGACAATGCACACCATCATGGTCACCAGCATAAATAAAGAGGTAAACCCACAACCCATCCCCGGTGGGGTCTATCCAAAAATCAAACATAAAAGTCTTGGTTATACATACACTTTAAGTGGCACTTGTTTCCCCTTTGGTTGCATTTAGGTCTAATGCTGATTCATTTGCCTAGGTGTGATCTGTTTTACTTACCGATGCTCCCCATACAATATGGTGGCGGGTGTATTAAGGCTTCCCAGAACATCAGACGGTGCACCACTCTCCCAGGTATAAACAGATGCATCCACCAGATCTTTCTGGGTCAAGGTGGAACCTATGGAAAATAACTCAGGACTTCCTTTATAGAGAGCCAAGGCCTCAGGACTGAGAGTGTATGGCCTGGTGAAAACCGGGAGCTGCTGATCTACAGACAGACACCAAGAGAAAATGTAGAATGGGTCAAAGTCAGTTGTAGTTTCTATATATATTTTATATTTACCTTATACCCACTAATATATGTGTGTTTAATACATGCATCTCAAAACCAGTGTTGGGAGTCCACAATTATATGAATGCTTATGATGACTATGATTTATGAATATCGTCAATTATGTTTTCTCAACCACCTACTAGTTGGTAAAACCAATTGTGCTACACAAGTAATTAATCATTTCATATATATAATTTATAAATGTATTTTTTTGGTGAACATCAAGTGGTTTAGAAGGAATATGATACTGTGACACTTTATATTAAACTGTATTATTGATACATTTACAAGTTTTTGTAATGGAGCCCCGCTATGAATTTGGGTGAATGGGTTAGGGTAGGGAAATATAGATATATTTATGTTATATAAATGAAAGTTTATTGTAAGTTAATATCGGGCACTAGTGCCCAAAGGTCCTTTTTTGCATTCTCCAATATATATTACTGTATATATGCTTTTTTCTAATACAGATTCCTTCCATGACAGCTGTACTTTAAGGGGAATCTTTAGGGCCCATTCACACCAAAATTGGAAGGAAATCACAAGTCAATGGATGGTCCCATGACTTACGATTGTACTTTCTGATTTCCTTCCGATCTGTTTTTCAACGAATGCTAACGGGCACCCATTCATTTTTCGGGTGCCCTTCCATTAGCATCCATTGAAAAACATATCGCAATGCAAGGGATCGCAACGCAATGGAACTGGTGTGAATAGGCGCTCTTTTAAAGTTTTAAGCTCTACACACTTTACAATCTGACTGTACAATATCCTTTAGATCTACCAACAACTACTCTACAATATGTAGTACATGGGTCTCCCTAATTGGATACAAATTGAATAGATTTGATTAGATAGGCCCTTATATTACATAATTATGATAAATCTACATCTATAATATATATATATACTGTATATCAATGGGATTGTTCTTTACTGATGTGCAAACTCAATGTAAGTCTATCAGTTAACCTCAGACTAATATAACAATACCAGATGGCTTATCATGTAAATTATTCAGCAAAGGTGCTCATTGCACCGCCCGACATACAGACAGCCACGAGACTGAGAATCTGTTAACCTCTCTCTGAGATATGCCCATGAAAATATGGAACAGCAAGCATGTAAAAATGTGGGCCATATCACAATTATTTTTACATCAATGATGCAATGATTGCTGCAAATATGTTACAGTTTTCCTTTAATGTAAGACCTCAGAGGAGAAACAAATACATGATACGTGCAGCTGGTGACCATCAGACCAGCACAGCTCCCGCCAGCCAATAAGAAGTCAGCTGGATGGGTGTCTTGGCCATTAGCCAGCACAGCGCTAAGAATAGCACAGCCAACAGAGTGCACCTAATACTGATATTGCAATTCTGGATAGTCCCCCCACTCTGTGCCACACTTACATGTGTCACATCTTACAAGTCTGCCAGCCATCTGTAGGATTCAAAGGAGTGCTAAATACACAGGAAGATGTCTTCTCCTGTTAATTAGCAGCAGGTCCTCTTTTCTGGTTTATGGAAGTTATTAAGGCTGAAAAAAGACACATCCATCCAGTACAACTCAAAAACTTGCAAAAAAAAGGTCTAATTTGCCCCAACAGGGTAAAAAAATTCCTTTGTGATTCCTAAGGCAATCGGATATTCTCTGATACAACAATTTGCATGTTATTTTTCATCAATAACGTACTAATAGTTTATTTTGTACATTTAGAAACACATCCAGATTTTTTTTTTTAACAATCTACAAATCCACTACCTGTGGAAGTCTAATCTCCATTTCACAGTTCTTACTGCAAAGAAGCCTTTCTATATGCGAGGCGTAACTTCTGTTCTTCCAGACACAAGGTACCTCCTTGTCATTTGCGATGACTTTAAAACAGAGCTGGACAAATCCCAGAAGCCAACAATACCTCAATACGCCTTAAAAATGACAGCCGGCCCCTAACTTTTGAGGTTTTCTCTAGTTCTTGTCAATGGAGCTGGCTTCTAAAAAATTCTGCCGGCTCCTGGATTAGACAGACTGGCTACTGAACTCCATATTTCACCCCTGGCAGCTTTGAACAGCAGTGAACAGCTTTGGATCAATTTTAATAAACAGACCAGTAATATATTACCTGCAGTCTGAGGGGGACATGGCATGGTGGTTGGGGGGGGCACATTACCAGGAAGGAGGCACAGGTGATGCACGGTACCTCTGACTGCAGCTCTGTCCGGCATCCTAACCAGCTCACTGACGTCACTGGTTGCCAGGAGCTGGCTGGGATGCCAGCCAGAGCATCCAGCTCTGCTCCTGGCAACCAGTGATGTCAGTGAGCTGGACAGGATTGGTCGTGAAGAATGTCACCAGCACACCGAAAAAATCCTTTCAGGATCACCAAATGTTCATTTTATTGAACAAATCGTCAAAAGTGAAAAATGAGCTGGACAGGATGCCGGACAGAGCGTCCCAGGTTGCTAGGAGCTCTTAGCAACATGGGACACTCTGGCCAGACAAGGGGGCAGCAGGCACACCTGCCTCCCCCACCACGTAAGCCAATGAGATTCCACCTGAGGCAACCACCCCAGGCTGCCTCATTATAGGGATGGCCCTGGGTGTCACTTACATAGACCAAGCTACCACTGCAGTTCAGTAAGCAGCAACTTAAGGTCAAGGATGAGAAGAACAACTCCCTTGAAAAATTCTAGCTTCCCGGTTGTCACATTGATCTGTTTTCAGCTCCTGACACGGAAGAAGTATGCAGTTCCGAGGCTTATACTTACTCGTATACTACTCGTTCTATGTCAGTGAATCAGAAAGTGTCAGAGACAGCCAGGCAACCAGCATTTCCAGAGGTAGGTCAGCAATGGCAGCACACATATTTCCCTCTTGACAAGTTTCCTTTAGCTGAATTGCAGTAAATGGAATCAACAAGCAATCAATAAACATGGTGTTAGTATACTAAAGAGACCCTATTAAGTGGGAGCTGACATTTGTGACTTCCTTCTGAAGGGGTATACTTCCCCTTACTGCAGAAACCTCTACTCTAGGATCCGGGGGCCGCCAGTCATGTGACCTAGCATTAATCACATGATCTGCTGAAGGGGAGAGTCAGCTAATTCAAATGCTGCTCATCCTCTGCAGCAGTGATCACATGACATAAAACCAAGGCAATCGATCACATGATTAACCACAGTGGTTGAATGGCCAAGGTGAGTATTCTGTGGCCTCTGTTACCTGTTATGACATTGGGGTAGTGGGGTAAGCAGAGAACAATGATAGGGCCACTTTAAAGTTTGCCAAAATTGTACATTTGATAATTCTCTCCTAATCTATTTTTATTGTAGTGCTGAGCGTCAAAGCATCATGCAAAATTAGATAAATAAGCGCCACTTACCACCAGTGCCATTGGTGCTGATCACATACAATCCAGTGTCTCTAATCCCACCTTGCACGCCAATCTTCTCATAAACCTTTCCTTCTCTATTATACATGACCAGAGTGTAACCTTGGATTTGGCCTCCAGGGGGTCCCTTTAGCTCAATGAAGCTATATGGCTGAGCTCCGCGCATTACCCCCACTTCACTGATCAGCAGAGTCATAGGAGAGGCAGAGGAGGCAGGGGGAGAAGAAGACGTTCTGGGTCTGGAGGTGCCAAATGGGAATATGGGTGAAGCCTCACAGTCATTCTTAGTGAGAGGGGTGATCTTGGTGACCTGCAAAGAAAAGAGTTATGTTATGGGCATGCCTTAAAGGGGACCTGCTATGAGCATGCCTTAAAAGGGCATGTTATGAGCATGCCTTAAAGGGGACCTGTTATGGGCATGCCTTAACCTCCCTAGCGGTATTCCCGAGTCTGGCTCGGGGTGAATTTTCCATGCTAGGAGCGGTAACCCCGAGCCAGACTCGGGGTTGCAGAGAAAAGGGATGCTCCC